AAGGTGGCACCGTTATTAATAAAAGTGGGTTTATGTGGTTGATATTGAATTGATAAAGTAAGAATAAAGTAGAAATAATTTAGAACCACACAAACTTTACCAAATAAGCGCGCTATCGGACAAACTTAGTGGGATGAACCGAAATGGTAAAATGGGACAATCATAGCGGGACGGAGGGAGTATTATTTATTTATTTATTTATTTATTTATTTTTATATGTAGATGATATTATTATTACTGGCCAGCCCAGCTGGTCGCCGACTCTCTCTCCCTTACGGGAGGTCTCGGGTTCGAAACTCAATGGAGTGAGTTTCAGCCTAGATTACTCCAGGCTCCCACCAGTCCCCCTTCCTCATGACGCATCCTGGAGTAAAAAAATGATATTATTATTACTGGTAATTCCGAGTCTGTCATTACCCAGTTTATCTCTATTATTTCTAATCATTTCGCTATGAAGGATTTGAGTTGTTTAAATTATTTCTTAGGTGTTGAGTCGACTAGGTCTCCCAAAGGTCTGTTTCTCTCTCAAAACAAATATGTGTCTGATCTTCTAACCCGTTTTCATCTCCATACTGTTAAACCCGTTCACACTCCATTAGCATCTCACACCACTCTGTCTCTATATGATGGTGAGTTACTTGCGGATTCCACTTAGTATCGCAACATGGTAGCTAAGATGGTACAATATTTGGCTCCAAATTTCTCGCTTGAAAGGAAATCAAATATTATAAATCGTGACTAGAATGTTAACAAAGGAAACATATAAAGCAGTAATATATATATGTATTGCCAATTGGTCGCCGACTCACTTTCCCTTACGGGAGGTCTCGGGCCTTACAGGAGGTCTCAAGTTCGAAACTCAATGAAGTGAGTTTCAGCCTAGATTACTCCAGGCTCCCCCAGCCCCCCTCCCCCAGAAGCCCCTGGAGTAAAAAAACAGTAATATGTATTGCAAATCACAATTGGGAATAAACACGTTCTAAATTATATAGAATGGAAGGGCTTCTGGTTCAAAAGGTTAAAGTTGTTTGGGGACCATAAATGTAAAATGTTAACTTCACCAATTTGTCTCCTTTATTAATGCAAAACTAAAAATGGTTTCACTTTGTCACACTAAGGAGTAGGAAACTTGAATGGTATTATGGGAATGCAAAATGGGTCTTTACGTCGGGGTTTTTTCCTTTCGTTCAGATTAATTATGGTGTAAGTATATAATGCTAATGCTTGAAGTGTTTTTGAATTTTTTTATGCTCATAGTGCTAGTATTTTTCCATCACTTGTTTACCATTTGCAGTGATGGATAATTGTTTTATCTATGCAAGTGTTGTGTGGATGCTACACTGGGATTGAAAGACAATTAGCTAGAACATATATGGAAAGGGACAAATGTATAGAGAATGGATGATAAAAATGAAATTGTAGAAATTGTAGAAGCTATATGAAATGATTACACTGTTAGGATAAATATTGTATGATTGTACTTCTCTGAAATGTTCTATAATAGAAAAAATAACATATTGCCTAGGCCGACAATGTAGCTATTGTTCAAGGCACTTCTACAACCCTCCTGTCTTGACTCTTGATATTGCATCAATTTTTTATGGCTTTGATGTGGAATCTCACGCATCTACATTGCCAAAGAGAAATTTATCAGTAGGAGCGTGGATGCTAAGAACTAAGTTGAAAGTGGTGCCAAAACAAGATAATTATATTGTAATTCATTAGAGAATGATTTTTTTTTTTAATTTGACTAGGGAATAGAATATTTCAGATTAACAATCCAAAGGTTTAATTTAGAAAATTATGAAATATATTAAAATAAAGAAAAGTGAAAGCTAGACTAACAAGTAAATCCGACCAAAAAATTGCAAAAAAGAACAACTTGTTATGGAGTTGTAAACTTGTACTACGTAATAACAAAAATAACACTCATCTTTTAAGAAGTGAACTACTCATAGTAGTCTTTATTCCATCTTGCTTTCATTCATTGTAAGTACTCAGTAGATTATCTACCTCAGAACCAATGTTTTCACCTTCGGATTGCCCGCTAGCAGTAGCTTCAACACCAACTTTTATCCTAACATGCACTGCATAATATGCAAGTTATCAATTGGAGCATCCACAAGACCACAACATATGCTATAAACCAAGTTCAAAGTGGTGCCACAAACAGATATTGTAATTCATTAATAATGGACCACTTCACAATTTACACTCCTTGTTGTATTTCTACTTATTCCATTTGAATTCAGAATAGGAGATGCGCTAAGTACACCCTTGCTCTATGTATAAAGTTTTATCATAATAAGTTATTAAAAGTATATTGTAAAGCAGATCATTAAAACTAGTTACATGACACTTTTGATGGTTTTCAACCGAGCAGTCCATAGCCGTCCACACTCCAGTACCATTGTTTTTCTCAGTAGACGGAAAAGAGTCCATGAAGAATAAAATGGGTATAATTACAAGCTTGATGCACCACTGTACTGTTATGATTTCCTAGCAAATTAATGATGTACAGAAAAACATTTAAAGCGCTACAACATAGCATGTTTTATGCTTTACGAGTTGTTCTCTCAAATCACCTCCTAGGTTAATAATTTAATAACGCACACATCCATATAAGTAAATGAACTATAAGCGAAGTTGGAAGTCAATTAATCTCACATGGCAGTGCATTATATGAAGGCAGTGTTTGGTTCAAGGTGATATCCTATAGAGGGCGGAATCTCATGCCCGGAATGTGAGATACCTGTGTTTGGTTCGCGAGTTTGAATTTTTTTTTTGGAATGTTACATTCCCAAAAGTGGAAAAGGTGATCACATTACCAGGCATGTCAAACCCACCAATGCCTTAGGTTTTGTAAGATTCCTGGTGGCTTATTAATTTTCTTCCGAAAAAACCATGTTTCATTAATCGACATATCTAGGGGTGGACCGGGCCCGGTCCTGTTTTGGTTCCGGGTTGGGCCCGGCCGGGCTTGGCTTTTTGGGAATGTATCCCGGGACCGGCCGGCTATTGACCGGTACGGATTCGGGCCGGTCTACCCGGGCCGGGCCGGGTACATGCATTTTATAATTCATGTTTAAAAATTAATTCAAGAAGTGCTACATATAAAAACAATTAAAGTATATTTATTTGAAACATGAACTATAGTCTACAATTGAGAATTGAGAAAAAAATTAAAACATGAAATCATTTTCTAATAAATAATAATCAATCGGAATCTCCGCCACCGTCGGTTGTTGTTTCCTCCATAAAAGTGTTGGGTGGAGGTGATGCTAAGTTCTTGAGTTCTACGTTAGGCCTTCAACCAATCGTGGTAGCAAACAAGCATCTCAAGAGAGTTTGCATTCAATCTCGTTCTATAATCCGTTAGCACGTTGCCGACCGCACTAAATTCTTGTACTGCAACAACTGTTGAAACTGACATTGATAGCACTTGCTTAGCCATTTTTTGATAAAATCGGGAACGTTCTTTCTTTTATCCTTCCATCACTTTAGAATGTCAAAGTCATTATCTTTTTCATAATCAACAAGAAATGTTAGATACATAGAAAGCTCCTTAACCGGGCTTTGTTCAACAATAGAGATACCTGTTGTTGGGATTTCAAAAATGATTTTTGTTTAAATGAAGATGTTCGTGTCTGAGGAGGAGTTGCGTTTCCATATTGGCATATTGTGAATAAAACTCATTAAATAATTGATAAGTTTAATGTGTTAAGAAACAAATATTTAAAGGGCATTTAAGTAATTCACCAAATATGTAATATAAGATATCATTCAACCAAACAACTTAATGTAACATTCCCATAAGCGTAACCAAACACAAATGGGCTATACATTAATCACATTCCCATCTATCTAACATACCCAGTAATCTAACATTCCCATGGTAATCTGACATTCCTTGAACCAAACATACCCGAAATGCAATCCAATCACCATTCACCTAAACACCCGGTCCAATGATTATTGTTGTTAACCTTGGTTACTGATTTCCTCAGATTCAAATTGTAAAGGCTAATTCAATATAACAATTCATTTACATTTCAACAAACACCTTATAGGCATAAAATACATATTTTGAATTATAATTTTAATAATAAAAATAACAAATACATATTCCCTATATCACAATTAATCTGTGTTTTCTATTAGTTCTTTCTCTTATGCAGAAATTTGAACTATAGAATTTTATTTTATTAATTTAATGCCAATTAAATTAAAGTTAATAAAATTATTTGGAATGGGGGAGTATATAATTCAAGAAATAAATGGAGATTACGTATACCAAGTACTACTAGTATACCAATTAAGAAATAAATGGAGATTACGTATAAAGGTATCAAAGACCACCACATTTGGCCGATGGAGATTGGAGATCATAGTTTTAAGCAAAAAAAACACTCCAAAGCTATTTTGTGGTGAATTTTACTCTTTTACATAAATGCGTGTTTTGCCCTTTTTTCGTATTTTCCTATTAAAAAATATATACACCATATCCTTTTAGATAGTTAAACACCCAACTAGATTGCTTTTACTTGGACTATTTTCAGTCCCTGACCAGATCGGATCAGACTTAAACAGAGCAGACTGGATCGGATTAGACCAGGCTTCCTTAATTGTAAAATACACAGAGACCAGACATTTACCAAACTAGACCAGACGAGATTTACACACACCCGACTTCCATAATTGTAAAATATACAGAGACCAGACATTTACCAAACGAGACCATACGAGACTTAAACAGACCAGACAAAATTAGCAAATTTCAATCAAAGTAAAAACATCCTTAGGCAAATCACCCAACACTTTGCGTTCAATCATTTGAGCCCTCTCCCTTTTGATTGTGACAATAAAAGAGGGTGGATTTTGCCGTTTGAACAGTATTAAATGAGTAAATGTGAAAAAGTAAGAAAGAATAAAAACCACACAAACATGATCAAATATGAGGTGAGACAAACTTTACGAAGAGACAATAAACACAAAATAAGGCAATAATTAAGATATACGGAGTATAATGTGACATAGAGAGTATATTTATTTCTAGGACTGTGTTTGATAGGCAGAATTTAAGGGATTGATCTGTCAAATGCATCTCATAAGAGTGAATGAGTACATATGTCGGACCACGCATATATATTATGCTTCTTGTGAATGCTACTACCATGATTCATAAAGTACATCATTTTCTAAGGAATGGGTTACTTTCAAAAAAGTTTGCCGGCCTTAGCTCAAACCCTACCGATACAATTGGCATCACCGGAAAATCTTCTTGGACTGGTACATGATGGAATCCCAAAGTGTACCACAACACAATATCTTTATTTTCAATTGGTCTATTCCTGCAAATAAAATACCAATCAAATAATTAAAGTTTTTAGTTAGCATAACCAACCTCAAAGCAAGTCAGTCAATATATATGGTAGAGACAAACCTGAGAAATTGCTTAATTATATGAATAGTTCAACTTAATTACACTCATTTTAACGAGGTTATGTAGTGAAACTTTCAATTTTAGTTTTTTCGGATATGCCTGTTGTCAGATTTAATCGTGCAATAAACAAATAGTACTCCATATGTCTATTTTGAAAACTTTTTCAGGTAACTTCTACTCCGTATTTTAAGAACTTTTTCGGGTAACCATAAAGTTAGTGTAAAGAACATTTTGGCTTAGAGGAAGCGGTCCAACCCAGCTGGTCGCCGACTCACTCACCCAGTCACCCTTACGGGAGGTCTCGTGTTCGAAATTCAATAAAGTGAGTTTCAGACCTGATTAAATTTGACCGACAGCCCCCTTCGGGGAAAAGTCCCCTGGAGTAAAAAAAACATTTTAGCTCAAATTTATGTGTTTTAAATATAACTTTTTCATAAATTATGAAGATATTAAAACATACTCCGTATATCTATTTTAAAGCTTTTCTCTATGCATTGCTGGACTATATTCAAAGAAAATAAGAACAATGAACATATATTGCCACCAAGCTAGGCACCAACATAAATAATTAAGTACTCCGTACTATACTATACCTTCGGCTCCAAGTAGCTAATCCATCATCTCCATGGCTTTGGATTGTATAAAGTCCGGCAGCCCACTTCTCGGACGCGTTATATCGAGTCACCCATACCTGATACTTAGTATAGGCTGCCCGAATCTGGGGATAATCTTCGTCGGAAAGCAAAGAATAAGCCGACGGTCCGGCAACCAGCTTGTAACCCACATGGTTCCCTAACTCCGTTTTCTTGTTCGATCGGGTTAACAATCAACAACTCGGCAGGCTCGGAATCGAGGCGAACCCGAGCCTGCGCTTCCCTCGGTACGGTCTCCTTGATCACTCTCCAGTAACTCTTCCTAGGCGACAACGTAGGATCAGTCACTGCCTCGGGCTTCATTTTGGCTTTAACAAATGAGTTGGAGTGGCCATCGATGTCTAAGTCAAGATAGTACGTGACGAAGTGATCATGGTTGCTTCCGACAGTGTAATTTGCAACTAAGGTTCCGTAAACATCCTCCTTCACCGTTTGACTTGTCGCGTATGGCACGCCCTTCATCTGAAGCACTCCAGATAGGCTTACCTGTCGCCGGGATTACACCATGTATAACAAATTTAGCACCCTAGGATGTTTTTGCTTGGACCGAATTTTTTTTTGCTTGGTCTGATCTGGTCTATTTTGGTCTAATCTGAACTGGTCTGATAATGTCTGGTTGTCTGTGCATATTTTATAACTATCCAAGTCTGGCCTAGTCTGGTCTAGTCTGGTCTGATCGATCTGGACTGGTCTGGTTTGGGGCTGAAAATGATTCAAGTAAAAACATCCTTATTAGTCTATTTTTTATAAAATACGTCAGTTTTGGTTAATACTAAGGAAGACAATTTTATCAGTTTTCATACTCCGTATAATTTTTCTTTATTTCATTAATCAAATACACAATCATATTTTAGATTTGAGATACTACCCGAAATAGGACTAAAAAGGTTTGAAAATTCCAAAATGGTACTGACATGTTTTTATTCCCAAAATATGACTAATTATTACTGTCATGTTTTGGCAGTACCAGACTTCATACATGGCAGTATTTTCTAAACTTGACAGTAATCACTCCTATTTTGGGAATAATAAACATGACAGTCCTATTTTGGAATTTTCAAACTGTTTTAGTCATATTTCGGGAACTTTTCCTTTAGATTTATGTTTTTCATATTTCAACACATTCAGCTAATTCAACCGTTATAGTCAGAATTTCATAAATTTTGATCAACTGATTAAGTCAATTTCATTGTCATAAAAAGGGCTTTGAGATATTTTTTATGAGAAATAATTTAAATCTTAGAGCATACATAATTTACAGAGTACACTTAAAAATTACTCCGTATAAGAAAAGATTAATAATTTTGTTTAATTTTATGAATGAACAGATGGCATCATATGAAAATTTATAAAATGTACTCGTTAACTCGTATTCATTTAGGAAATTACTTTAAATAATATCAATTATCTTCTATCAACTAATAATAATACGTACTTTAGAAATAACTTTTAATAGTACCAACTATTTGAATATATATCAAAAGTGATATAAAAAGTTTACTAAAAATTATCAACAACCAATATCAAAATATTAAATAAGTGACTGTATTTCCATATATCATTTACTTGATGATTTAATATTAATTTTTGATGTCTTAAATGATTGAATTTCTTGTAAAAAAGTGACTCCATATTATTTTTATTCTACATCCATATAGTTGGTATTATTAAAAGTTATTTTTAAAATACGTATAACTCTTGGTTTATGGAAGATAGTTGATATGGTTTAAAGTTGTTTTCCCTATTTAATGTGATATACTAGTATATTTTAAAAAGTGGAGCAAATTGGAAGAGTTAAAGAGTATTTTAAGAGAATTAGTGAAAATAAATAAAATCGTTCTGTTTTTTGTGCCATGATTTGTTCTTATTACCCCAATCTTTATGGATCCACTTTGTTTGAACTCCCAATCAAGTATGTAGTCGTAATTTCCAACAGTAGCCACCATTCTTGCAATAAGGTTCACTTCTTGTTGTCCATTTGTTACCTTCAAAACACAAAAACATTGAGAAAACATGTATAATTTAATTTCATCTTTGAACAAAGTAAACTAAGGTTAATTACCTGGTTGGTTCCATCTCCATAGTTTGTGTGTCTCCAAGAAACTTGTCCCGTATAATGTTCAAAAATACAAATGGCATTTGGGATAGGAAATGCCTGACCGTCCACTCCGACGATGTAGCCGTCAATATACACGGCGTTAGCCGGACAGTCAAGAAGCGGAACAAGAGAGCTAGCCGTCGCCCCAAACCCATATTCGCCCAAATCCATATACGTCTTGAAATACTCCTCAGGCGTGGGGTCCATGTACGGAACAAATGTCTCTGACACAAAACCTCTATAGAGCACACGCCTAAAGCGCTGTTTGGTTGTGTCGAATATAGAAGCTGTCGATATAACCAAGCCGGAACGGGCGTTGAACGAAACATGGAACTCCCAGTTCTTCCAATTCACCACACTCCCATTTAAATGAATATTCGATTCGGTCCCATTACAGGTTATTAACGGCGAATCACGACCGTTTGCTGATTCCGAGTCTGTTGTTCCGCCTGTGAACAGAGGTGATATTCCCCTGTCTGTGTAACTAATCATCTTCGTCGAGTCGATGTCTACTAACGCTGTGATCCCTGCGATTGGATGACTCCAAAAATTTGAAGTTCCCTCCGATGAATAACAAGAACTCATTAGAACCCTTGTAGTTGTTCTCTCTCCATACCATCCTAATCAAATACGGAGTAATACATACATCAACAAAACAACAATTAATACTCAATATAATGTTTTGGTATCGTATAATATTTATATTTGAGGATCCAACTGCATATACTACCTCTGAACCATAAATTCATCCACTTTTGGCATAATCTATATCTTTATATAATATAAAGTAACAGTCGGGCTACAATTTTTGGAGGCAAAATTGCCGTCCAAAATAAGGGTAAAAAGGTAATTGAAGTTCCATTAAAAATGCACCGTATGTACTAAATATGTCAAACGTAAGGAATCAAATCTAAATCTAAATATTTCTATGATTTGTGTAGATCGATCAAGATTATCGTATGTACTAAATATATTCCTTTAATAACTTCGGCATAAATAGAACATTAGTTGCACCAATTAAGGATGTTTTCTTTTGAATTGTTTTCAGTCCCAGACCAGACCAGATTAGACCATATCAATGGAGACCATATCAGACCAGATCAGACTTCTGTAGTTATAAAATACACAGAGACCAGACATTTACCAGACCAGACCAAACCAGTTTAGACCAGACCAGACCAACAAATTTCAGTCCAGAAGAAAACATTGTAAGAGTTTGCATACAGAGGTGACCAAAAAGTATTTTAGACATATCTTTATACGGAGTATAATATGCACAATATAAAGTAGTAGGGTTGTTATAGTTTTTTGAGGCAAAATTCCCAAATTTGGAGCAATTGTGTATAAAGAAATAGTATAAAAGCTAACGATTCTTGCCATAAATAATAGCTTAAGGATTTAGGATAAAAAGCCAATGATAAACGTAATTTATGATATAATTCCATATTATTGATTGATAAACATAATCTATACAAAAATGATACTTCGTACTACGTATAATTTAATGATATATATCTTCTCATCATGTGATCCCGGCTGTATCTAAATTTGTTATAATTTAAATATGTAAGGAATAACAATAGTAATAATCATTTTTATTATTATTATAATCATTGTAGTAATAATTATTGTCTTTATATTATTATTATTATTATTATTATTATCATCTTTATACGAGTACTGTATAATATAAAGTAACAAAGTTGATACAATTTTTGGAAGCAAAACTTCCGCCCAAATTTGGGGTAAGTGTGTGAAAATAAAGAGTATCAAAAATAACAATTCTTGCCTTAAATAATATCTTTAGAAATGGTAACCTAACTAATGACCAATATTATTGAATAATGATATGAGATTTATATATAAAACTGATGAATTATATCTTTGCATCTTGGATTTAGTTAAATGTGCGATAATTTAAATATGTAAATAATAATAGTAAAAATAATTTTTATCATGGTAGATTCTATGGTACCCATAAGGTATCATACCTTTGTCCACATGGACCAATGAGAATGTTACAGTTGAATAATTTAAATCTAAATTAAAAAAGATAAAGTGATGTGGTCCGATCAAATGGATGGTAGGTATGGTACCTCATTTTTTAAAAAGGTACCGGAGTTGTCACCTTTTATTATTATGTTTATATGAACAATCATCATGCAAGGTAACACTATAATAAAAGGTACCGGAGTTGTCACCTTTTATAAGCTCAAAAGTTATATTTTTGGACATATTTGTCGAGAACATGCTCACAAAATTTAATAATAAAAAAATAGGACTTGAAAGCATCTCAAATGAAAGAGACCTAAAATTGTAACTTTTAGTCATACCTCACATGGACATTCTCTATGTTTATATTATCTTTATCTTTATATAATATAAAGTAGCAAAGTTTGTAATTAATATTGCATAAAAACTGAATATATAAATTTGGACAGTGAACTAATAATTTGCATATGGCAAGATTAATATTAAACTATATTAATCTTCCGGTTTATAAACTTTCGTACCAAATGCTTTAAAGAAGAGAACTAAAACCAAACAAAGTCCTACAAATTTTCTGTTCGATTAGACTGAACCGTTTCACTCAACCCTAGAGAAAAGAATGTGGATTCTCAAAGAATCTTATTGAAATGAAATTTATGGAGAGAAAAGAGATTCAATTTACGATATGAGCATAAAATTGCACAATATATTATGGGTATTCGGTTGTTCTATTTAGTTGGTTTTGGTTTTATTAGTTCGTTTTTTAGTCGATCAGTTTTAGGAAAGGTGAAACCGAGAACAGGAGCGCGCAACTTGAGTCGATTTCAGCCGGTTGTATCACGTTCGATCAATTTTGACATGTTTTGATCGGCTTTTGTACATCAGTTTCGCTTTCATTCAAGATGGTTTCGGTTGATTTTAGTTTTCAATCTTTTGAGAAACACCTACATTATACAGAGTATACATGATAATAATTATAGTAACACTGTAACAATAATTATATTATAATTATATAGAAATTTCATAGCATGCCCTAGATGTCACCCATGCAACGCACGGGTCATTAGTCTAGTTTTATTAAAAAGATATAGATTTTATACTTGCACTTTTTCCTAAAATATTATTAACGAAAAATCTATGGACAAAAATGTGACTATAAGTTACTATGGATAAGTTTTATGGTCACTATGATGTAATATTTGAATACAATACAATTATATTCACTAAAATTATCAATGTAAAGAAGGAGAAGAAGGTGAAATGTGTATTGTGTATTATGAATGAACATAATATTAGCAGGGGCGGCTTGAGCCTATTGGAGGCCCTAGACATCAAATACTCTTTCAAAAAAGACATGGAATACTTAGACAATGTTTGCAAACAATTAAAAAAACCGTTTCTTAGCTTTTGGCTTAAAAAAACTAAAAAAAGTGTTTTCAAGTAACAACTTTTGATTAAATTAAAACATTAAAAAATTAAACGCCAAAATCTGTTTTTTACTTTTTCTAGTACACAAAAAATACTATTTTACCAAACACTATCAACCTTTAATTTTTAAAAATCACATTTTTCTCAAAAACTATTAACTTTAAATATTAAGCATTTTTTCCAAAATCACTTTAAAAAGTGATTTTTTTAAAAAACACAAGTTATTGCGAACATTTTCTTAATACACTGTTATCATATTAATTTGTTTTCAACGTAGTATAACATAACAAACAATTTTTTTTAATAAAAAACATATGGAAAACAAAACTTATTCAAATTTCTTTTTCATATAATCTGATTGCGCCATATAATGTGAGCAACAAAAAGTTAAAATTCACCAATACAATTATAAAAAAAACATAAAAAATGACAATATCCAATCAATCAAATTAAGTAAAACAAGTATGTAGTATTTCAGTATTCAAAATACTCCGTAGCATAAAGGGATAAATGATTTATAGCACTATATTGGTCCAATACTTTATAAATTATAATCACAAGTTTAATTTGAGACCAGTAATTGTATTTAGTATTGAGGAATTTAACTGAAATCCTAAAAAGTAAAAATCTTTACACAATAACGTCAAGAAGCAACAGAAAACGAAGACAGAGAACTAGACTCAAACATCGGGTTAGCATCGGTGCTTCTGCGCTCGGTAATCGATGTTGTAGCACCAGTCAATAACCGTGGATTAATGGACATGAGAAGATGCTTAGGTACTCTGATGAGAACTGCCGAAGTAGAGATCTGAAATGCAAAATTCAGGAATTGCGGCAATTTCCATTTTGCCGATTCATTGCTGATTTACCTTGATTCAAACCTTGCACCAAGGCTGGAGACTTTTCCAGTTCCAATTACTCATACTACTACTAGTTTATTTTTTTGAGGCCCCATCCACATGTAGTGAGGCCCTAGGCAAATGCCTAGCCAAACCGGCCCTATGGCCGCCTCTGAATATTAGGTATACAAGACATCTCATGGGGAGTATAAATAAAGAAACAATTGGTCGGGCCTCTAATATGGGCCCGAAAGGCCCAACTATATAAATGGCTAATCTAGTAGATACAAATGATATAAAGACTGTACAATAACGTAAAAGCTATCTGGTATTATAAGCGTGCGTGGGCCGCTGTCCAGACCCAATAGTCATGAGACCCGGGGGCCCAAGTTTTATAAACTCTATCAGGAGTCCCCCACTCCCTGAGTCGAGAGTACTCGAGGCTCAAGGGAGTAGAACTGTGTGCTGATTCGTCTTCGTCTGGTGGAGTACACGGTTGTGGTCGTCGATGCACTTCACTCAGATTCCCAAGCCGCTGATCTGATCTCTTCGTCGAGCCCTGACTGAGGCAACCCTATGGGATAATCCTCAGGCAAAGGTCACTGACCAGAGACCATCTCAGTCGGTCTTGAGGTCGAGGATCTATGTGTATGTACTTTGCTGCTGTGGCAACTCAATCTGCATTTGATGTGATGACGTCGTCAATGTATGTGGCAAATCTCGTTAAAATTTTGAATTTGTGTTTATTTGATTAATAGAGGCTCTAAGTCCCCCGCCCTTACGAAGGAGGCGCTAGGTCCCCCGCTCCTCTAGTCCCCGCTCCTCCAGTCCCCTACTCCTTGAGGTGAATGTAATGAGGTGAAGAGGAGTAGAGTAGATCATGCCTCGTGATGTCTTCGATGGGGGCCGAGGGTCGACACCTTTTGTCCACGTTGGGGAGATGCCTCGTTAAAAACCTCACTAGGAAAAAACCCTTTAAGAAAAAATCCCAACGAGAGGAGAGAAGAAGAGTATACTGGATTCCCCCGAAATGAAGCAAAAGGGTGACTCCTTCGGCCTAGGCGTGGAGCAGTAACGGTCGCCATCTGCTAAGGCGATGGCCGTGACTGGTCTTCGCGTGTGAGTAGCTCAGCATGATAAGTAGTCCTAGTCATCAAATAAAGATGACTAAAGGATAGGTCGAGCGACCGTTGAATATGTGATGTCTGGTTCATCAAATAAAGATGACCAGAACATAAGGCTAATGGGCCAATATGTCCTTCGCATCATCAAATAAAGATGGCTATGAGGAATGGCAGAGAAACCTGTATGAGAGTCACACATCATCAAATGAAGATGAAGAGGCAATATATGGCCAAGGGGTT